AACTCTTCCTGACTTTGCATGTTAATTTTAGGTGTTCATATACAACTCTTCTTGACTTTGCATGTTAATTTTAGGTGTTCATATACAACTCTTCCTGACTTTGCATGCTAATTTTAGGTGTTCATATACAACTCTTCCTGACTTTGCATGCTAATTTTAGGTGTTCACATACAACTCTTCCTGACTTTGCATGTTAATTTTAGGTGTTCATATACAACTCTTCCTGACTTTGCATGCTAATTCTAGGTGTTCATATACAACTCTTCCTGACTTTGCATGTTAATTTTAAGTGTTCACATACAACTCTTCCTGACTTTGCATGCTCATTTCAAGTGTTCACATACAACTCTTCCTGACTTTGCATGCTAATTTTAAATGTTCACATAACATTCTTCCTGACTTTGCATGCTAATTTTAAATGTTCACATAACATTCTTCCTGACTTTGCATGCTAATTTTAAATGTTCACATAACATTCTTCCTGACTTTGCATGCTAATTTTAAATGTTCACATAACATTCTTCCTGACTTTGCATGCTAATTTTAAATGTTCACATGCAATTTTTTCTGACTTTGCATGCTAATTTTAAGTGTTCACATACAACTCTTTTACGGTAAAAAATACTTCCAGATAAATCATTAGGACATATGCAATCGTTCTGTTTCTAATTTATGTATTTTGACAAGTATGTTAAGTCCAATTATATTGTCTGTGAATTGTGCACCACTGCAAGTGTCTTGAAGCATATCCTGTAAATACTTGAATCAATACGTAATCTATGCAGACAGCCAATCGGAACCAACGTCACAAAAAAGTTTTTTTAAAACTACCAGTAACATGGAGGCCATGCAGAAAAAAAGTGCAAGAGGTTCAATGTCCATTATCACATAATTCTCTACTTTTATGTTCATAATTGTACTCTTCCAAACATTTTAGTTGCTATTTATGCATTTTTAAAGGATTATTTTCACATAAATTCATTACATGTCAACAAACCATGTGTACATACTCATAAATCTATTTAACACTCATGGTCCCTGAAAAAGTGCATGCATCTACTAAAATTAAACTGCGTGAAATTACGAGACTTAAGTTTTATGAGCACTACAGTATACATTTGATTATATCATAAACCTTTCATAAGTCGAGCGCCCTCAAACACTTCATGAGAGACACTGAACTACTTTTACTACATTGCTCGGCTCGTTTACAAGCCTATGTTTTGTTACTATTTGTTCTTGTACATTTAAATTGAAGTTTTGATATCAATCAAGATTTTAAATAAGACTGACTGTCATATAATAAATATACACATCTAAGTTTTAGAATATATAGACTTTACATGCTGACATACCTGGTGGCAGCCTCTATCTTACACGTGCACAAGCAAAGAGAAACCTTAATTCAATACATCAGTTATATGCATGTATTTTTTTCAGTATAAAAACTAAGATAGTGCTCCAAATTGGAGATACTTTGAACTCTATAGCCGAGTGGTCAACAACATTTTTTTTTTCCTCGCAAGACTTTTTGCCAAAAAAACTCTAAAAACCAAGCAATCACGAAAACTTTATAAAGACTTCATCTTTTAGTACAGCACTGGGTCAAAATCAAATAAAGTCAAAACTCAGAGTGTCTTGCCTTTAAAAAAAACTACTTCCTGAATAGCTGCTGTATCTATGGAAACAGTGGAGTTTCTGTAACTACTGACCTCACTTTCACTCATTCCGAAACACAGGTTTGAAGGAGATTTATGTCAAGATGTCTATGAATTTTTTTTCTTCTTTTGTACGTAGGGTTCACAGTTCCTTATAAACAAGCATACACAAGTCATAAATCACCAAGATAAGCAATGTTGATACATAATTTTATTTGGGACACATGCCCTAATAACAAACTATAATGCAATATATGAAATATAAAATAACTTAAGCTAATATAAATTCATTGGTAATGATTTCAATAAAAATTATCTTATTATTGAAGACACCTGCATGGATTACCACGTCTTGGCATTGTACCAAACTAAAACAAAATCTCATAAAGGGTGTCACAGAAATGGCAAAGACACTCAAAACTGAGGTAGTGATAGAGAAAACAGCCAGTAGGCTGCCTAAACGACCACTCACTTTGATTAACATACCCGGTAGTTTTCTTTTTTTTTTTTATTTACTTTTTAGAACTAAAGAACCCCCCCAAAAAATGCATACATGGAGATAGACGATTGTTCCTCAGTTTTGTTTGGACTAAATATACAGTACCAATTATTTTTTTTACTTGAAAAACAAAACTACATCACGGTAGCCGTCAGTCAATTTGAGTCAAACCATGGAAAATATTAATGGTGATGTTCCTATGAAGTTCGAATAAAATGGCCAAGACATGCATTAAGAAACATTTTATGAAAAGTTTAATTTTTTTTAATTGTTCGGACAAAATTCAAATTTAAAAAATGAAACAAAACGAGCATAATAGCTTCTAGTCAGTCATTTTGAATTAACTTGCAACATTATTTAAACCCATCCTGTGTGAGGTTGTTAGCAAGTTTGAGTATACACTTGTTAAAGTTTTTTTAATTTACATTTTGGATGGAAATGGCAGCCAGTTGGTCAAAGTTCAAGTAAAAGAAACAAAAAACAAACAAATCTGTATAACATAACGTTTTGCCATTGTACAAAACAAAATCTGTGAAAGTATATCCGATAAATAGGTAGGCCACGAGGAAAACAAAACAACCACATAATTGACTGTTTTAAACCACATACATTATAAATGAGTAACCAACGGTAAGTTTTAATTCAATTTGGACATGTCAAGTCTGAGAAACAGTTGGAGACAATTTAAAAAATGAACCAAGATAGACAAAGGTCAACAAATTGATGTGTATATGCCTATCATCATGTAATGTTTTTGTTCCAACTATATACAAAACATCCAGACAGACGCACCTTTAAACACAAGTCCCTGTTTTCGGATTGTGTCCAACAGGGAACAAAAACAAATTGAGGTGAATTTTTATACCACTTTTAAACAAAGACAAGGAATGCCAAAGAAAAAACTAATAATCTAGATTGAAGTATTTTTTCTTTAAAGCCACCTGCAATGTAAGTACATGTAGCGTATGTAAATTATGCATGAATTCATGCAAAGTTAATTTTTATGAAAAACGAATAATTATTGGTTTCTTGGAAACCAAAATCAGTGATCCTGTAGTTGAAATAGTTCAGGCGTATTTTCACATCATTTTAATATAAGATCGCATCATGCAGTCGCCTTCTTGGTAAATAAGATATTAATATCAATTTAGAAAGACCTACGAAACAAATTGGTGGTTTTAGAAACTCTTGGTAAATAAAATGTTTGACTGGAAATCACAAAAGTATTCATTTGACACGGATATTGACAACAAATGAATAAATGTGACATGGTCAATCTAAGAAACAAACCACAGGGCCTTCCTTGTTAGTCACTGTCACAATTTTAGTAATTGATCAATTATTAATCAAATGTGGGTTACGCAATCCACTGCTAACTTTTTGACAAAAGAATTTGACTTGGGAGTACCTCTGCGCAATCATGCCAACAATGTTGAGCGAAAATTAAATTGGAGTTCAAGTTATTGACCAAACAGGCAATCAGTGATAAAGAAACTGCCTTGGGAGGCGTGGTGGCCAGTGTAATTGACCGGCGGTGGCTAAAAAACCAGAGGCCTTCAGATTGAGGAGCCTGTAATTGTCACTTTTCAATCAATTCTCTATTTGTTTGTGACTAGTTTTTTGATTAATAATCAAATAACAGGCGGAGTTCTAAGCAAGCTCAGCTTACATTCAATGCTACTCCAAGACCCAGCACACACAACAATGCAATGTTCACCAAGCATCAGAAATACAAGATTTCAAAAGTCCAATATTATCGACAGGATTACCAAACATGCACTGACTGCAGGTCAAAGGTTAGCAGTGGATGACATAAGCCATATACGATTATTAGAGCAATAAATTACTAACATAGTGGTAGTGACTGACAAGAGACGATATAAATAGACCAACTTTGAACACTTTCAGAGTTTTCAAGAAGAGTTTGTTTCTGAAAAGTTGACGATGGATGGGGGTTGGATGAACAAACCAGACTTCATGATAGATGATGTGAGCTTGAACTCAAACTTGAATGTGGCGGTTTTATTCAAGATTCCACTGCCTCCAACTATCATCCACAAACGATTTGGGGTCCATGATATCGATGTATAATCGGCCTTGTAAATGATCCATTTCGTGTTGTATAATTCGTGCTGGAAACCCGTCTGCTTTCCATGACTGCATCTCACCAGTGGGCGACAAACCTACAATAGAATTAGTCAATTTGTCAAATTTGTGCACATTTTCATATACAACTGAACTATGCAATAGACCATTTTCCGTACACTCCGAGAATCACGCGTTATGCGTGAAATCGAACGTAAAAACAGGACAAACAAAGGTCATAGCGTCGTAGTCGCGTCAAACATCGCGTGGGATTCGACAAACGCGAAAGTATTTCGGAGACATTTCCATGCTTAATAATGTGCTGTCCACATTTGATGATAGGCAATTTCGATTAAGTAAGGGTATTTGGAAGCAATATTCCTCTGTCGAAGATCGGCCGGTCAATGTAAGCTGCGAAATAAAGAAATTCTAGTTCAAAATCAAATCATTCGATTTTTGCGGCAGATGTTCGACGCGCGTCTTTCATGCATCTCGCGAGATCTCGCAATTGTACGGAAAATCACCTATTGGTTAGTGTCTTTGCAAATAACGTGAGCATTATCTAGTAAATGTACGTGTCAGGTACCCTATTTAAAACTTGGGATACAATGGCTATTTGATCTTTATTAGAACATTTACATGTAGCATATTCCCTCTACTACATCCATACGTTTGCAAATGTAAATTAAGTCATATTTAAATAATTCACAATAACACAACTGTATTTTTATGTGTGTTCCTCTTAGAGATTCATTTTTTAAAAAAAAATAGAACATGGCATTCAATGAACATACTTTTTCTTGTTGAGCAGGGGTATAAAACTAACGTGTTGTACATAAAATATAGCATACTGGAATATTTCAAAAGGGGAAATTAAACGTAAATTAAAAACTGCAGAACAGACTTTTATGCAAAAGAGTTTGTCTAAAATAATTTGACCAGCTTGAACTTAAGATAAAAGTTTGCGGTGGCATGACATTACTTAAACAATAAATTATTGAATCATTGACTAATAAAATCATAATAACCTTGAGAGAAGAGAATGTCCAGCATTATGAACAAACAAACAAGTCATTCACTGCCAAGTCAGCTAGCAACACACATGAAGCTCCATGCTGCACTCCCAACCCCCACCTCAACCCACCCCAATAACTTACTGAACCAACCAACACAGTTGTGTACACATGCAGAAGTGGGGGAATATGTTCACAGATATTCCAACATTAAAAAAAATTTGCATTATAGCGTTCATAATAGAGAAAACAGAAAAATGAAAAAATGAAGCAGAGCATCATGGGTATCCTCTAGCTACCCGCACACAAACTGCAAAATGACAGTGGCTAATCCACTTTAAAATCATCTTCCATTGATCATTCAACATAAATTTCTCCAATTTCTAACGCGCACAATTTATAATTTTTATAATAGTTTGGTTGTATTTAAAGACTGAATTTTAGTTTTCTATCACTATTAAAATCCTATATGCTAAAGGAAAGGCAGAAAGATAAAGAATTGGGAGTAACTTGTTTTTTTATGACTTTTTGGCTGTTACATACCAATGAACACATCACCTTGCCCTGCCCCTACATGTATACAATTTTGTGTGCTTTGGTGGAAAGTCAGTTGACGAGGGCGGAGGGGTTATGCACTGATCAGAGGTTCAGTATTGAATGACTTGTTTTTTTTTGGTATTATAATGTTGGACAAATCCCTACTCAAGAACTGCAGATTTGTATAAATAACCAATATTATCATATTTTTTGTCTCTATTGTTATACATGTTCAAACTGTTTGACTTTAATAATATAGATATTATCAGAGACTTAAAACATTTAGTGACCCAAATAAAGGCACATACTACGATTTCAAACTTGAAGCAATTGTTAACAACTTTTAGCAGAATTGTTAGCACTTAGCTCATCACCTAGAAAATGAGGGACACGCAACAGACCTGTGATTTCCACAGCATAGTGTCGTTCCACATAAGCCGAGTAGCCTTTGATGCTTTCGCAGCCCTCAGGTTGGATAACTTTTGTATAATCCAACACCTTCATTTGGGGGTTGATGAAAATCTTCAGAGGAAATTCTTTAATTCCTCTTTGTTGTATGATCGCAGGCGAATACATCTGCATATGTTTTTCCTTGTATTCCATCACGATAACTTGAAAGCCCACGCCAATCTGGGGGGCAGACAGACCAACGGTTTGGCCTCGTCTCATCACCGCCACCATCTGTTCTATCAACTGATTTATTGAGTTACTTCCAATATCGGAGGGATCTACAGGCACCGCTTTGCCCCGTAGCACCGGATCCCCTACTTGACAAACATGGTTATACGGAGCAACTTTCATTTTTGGTTTCCAGAGTTGGGAACGATATTTGACAGACCTCATAACACGGCGAGGGAGCGATTCTTCTGGCACAATACCGCGACAGCCATACTTCTGAGAAATTTTCACCTCGGTGCGGATCATGGAGCTCAAAGTCATTCGCGATAAGTTAACCCACGTAGGTAATTCACATTTTGCCAGTAGAATAGACGTCTTTCCAATCAGTGGAATCTGCCTGGAGATCAACATTATACCCAAGTGCACTAGCGATAGACTGTACTGTCCTTAACACTGAATGATTCACTTTATACTATAGTACAGATCACATGGGAAGATCACCTGCGGCTAGTAAAACATTAATAATATAACAAAGGACAGGCAAAATAATCCCCATGGCTCATGAGAGGTCTTGTGATCTAATGGTATGCCAGTTCAAGCTTGAAAGGTCATGGGCAGTAGAAAGATTACTTAGCGATTTTAAAGCAATGTTTACTTTCTATTTTGAGTGTCCATACATGTATTAAAATGGATCGGCTTCATCATTTTGGCTATTTTTAATATTTCTTAATATTAATATATTTATATTCAGTCTAACTTTATTATTCTAAAAGGGCTCAGATCAAAAGAAGCCGTGCTATTGTGAGTGGGTTTATAAATTATTATAATGCTGCAATGTGACCCCCAGTCAGCTATCACGTGCATGTGTTTATGAATCGTTTTTTATATCAGTGTTTTGATTTATCTTGATTGTACATAATGATAATACTGACCACATTGACAATATTAAACAGAACTATATTAATTTCTATTGTACATCTACTGTTCAGAATAAAATAATATGGCAAAATATGTGATATTATTTCACTTTGGCAAGCTGCAAGAAACATTTTTTAAACGAGTTCAGAGAGCGTTATTTGCTAATAGAAGAAAATTATTTAATAATGACCTATTCTGATCTGTTATTTACGTAAACAATTAATAATGTAGTAGAGTTTCATGGAAATTCAAAAGGTCATGTTTAAGTTTACAACAATCAGGATCAACTATTCAACGGCATATTCCCATCTGAATATACGTGCATCCTGATAGAAATATGCATCTCTGATCAAGATACTGTTTATCGGATATTTTGCGCCTTAGATCACATTAGCGCATTTTATTACTGTGTGGTGCATATTGAAACAGGTACGTTTACCTCCTTTCCTAAAGACCGTAAACAAAAAAAACAGGGGTCAAACATAAGTTGTCTAGGGCAATTTTTTATTACCTGCTAAAGGATATTCACTCTGAACAAGATGTTTTTTTTTTTCTCTATTGCGATCAGGGGTTAATTGTGAAATGCAGTGCACTAAGACGTTCAAAGACAAAGTATCCCAATTAAAATACATTTATCCTGATTGAGATTCACTTGTATCCGAATCAGGGTATGTATCCTGTTTGAGAGATGTATTCCGTCCGTGTATCCTGACAATATAGATATGACTTTATTATAAATTCAAAATAGCCAAGGCTTGGGGATTTGTATACAGTAATCCGGAACATAAAAATCTGGGGCACTTCCTAATTACACTTGACAGTTTACTTTGTTTTTATGGAGGTGATAACCGCGCATTTGTTTTGGCAGGTGACAGACAAGTATCGTGCAAACAGGAAATCAACAATGACAAGAGAGATTCGCTAAATCAACATTTCGCTATTATGTCATTTTACCACAATTCGCTAAAATTGCATGTCGCTTTTTCAACATGTTTTACAGTATGTATACTACCCACAAATTCAGTTGAACATTCAGATGAATAAATGAGCTTAACAAACTTTTGAATGTCCATGAAGCTCCACTACATCCATCAGGAAATTAACCACATGTACTCACAGAACAAATTCGGGTACTCTTTAAAAAGGGAAGTTCTTAAAACAAATCAATGACCAGTATTTAAAACTATAGCTCATTCTTTTTTATCAGTTTGTCTGAAATAATATTACCAACTTGAAATCAAGGCAATTGTGCGTGGTGGCATAATAGATTTTTTGTGTTAAGTACATATTTTATAACAGCTTTTCTGAAAGTACTGTATATCAATGCTTTATCAAGTTAATTATGTTTTTTTTTAAACATACTGTTTATTTCAAGAGTGATTATATATAAGTTATATTCGTCATTTTCCTGGGTAATGTGTTGTGTTTTAATGAATTATTTAGCTAGTACAAGATGCCATTTTAATAATAAAAATTAGTTTGGTTATTTAGGAATGGTCAAAGTTGGAATTGATTTTCGCAATTACAATGTACAGTCACAAATGGGGTCTCATTAAAGACAGCCCTGTACCACTGGGACCTACTGGGAAGTAAATCCATAGCAAGACACATTCACTTTGTCACCAAGTTAAATGGTCTGCTTTTAATCCTTCTAACCACTCTCGCCACCTACATGCCCAAATTGACCTACTAGGAGATGCGAGAATGACACCGGTAGGTCTTGGTAGCACAGGGCTGTTTTGTGGGATCGTCACAAATGTACCGGTAATAATATGGCAAATACATTTGAGGGGAGAGGTATCTATCTACCTTGACACATGGCCTCTTGAAAGTCACCATAGATGGGCCTACTTAATGAATGGGGAAAAAATATAGCAGGCAGGTTATTAAATAAACTTGACTTCTATAATATCAATATTATGAGAGAACTAAAAACATACCCCCCCCCAACCCAATAGAATTAGGTAAGGATTTCAAACTTTGCTAACATATTAAACTTTTAGCAACTCGAACGAGAGTGAGAGGGGAGACACCCAACTTACCGGTGATTTCCACAGCATGGTACCGCTCTACATATGCGGAATACCCTTTAATGCTTTCACATCCTTCAAGTTGAGTAACTTTAGTGTCATCCAACACCTTCATTTGGGGGTTGATGAAAATCTTCAGAGGAAATTCTTTAATTCCTCTTTGTTGTATGATCGCAGGCGAATACATCTGCATATGTTTTTTCTTGTATTCCATCACGATAACTTGACAGCCCACGCCAATCTGGGGGGCAGACAGACCAACGGTTTGACCTCGTCTCATCACCGCCACCATCTGTTCTATCAGCTGATTTATTGAGTTACTTCCAATATCGGAGGGATCCACAGGCACCGCTTTGCCCCGTAGCACCGGATCTCCTACTTGACAAACATGGTTATACGGAGCATTCTTCATCTTTGGTTTCCAGAGTTTGGACCGATATTTGACGGACCTCATGACACGGCGAGGAAGCGATTCTTCTGGTGCAGTGGCGCGACAGCGACACTTCTGGTTAGTTTTGGCCTCCGCGCGGGTCATAGAGCTTAAAGTCATTCGCGACAAGCTAACCCACATAGGGAGTTCGCTTTTTGCTGATAGAAGAACAGACGTCTTCCCAATCAATCGAACCTGCCTAGAGATCGACATTATACCAGATTGCGACAACATTTAACTGTATCTGTCCTTGGCACTGAATGATTCTCTCTATACTATAGTAAAGATCACACACAAAAATCACCTGCAATCAGTTTGACACTGAGGACGAGAAAAAAATCGCTTTGTCTTCTCATGAGATGTCGTGTGATTCAATGGAAAATTACCAGACACGCGAGTTGAAAGGTCACGAGCGGGCGGTGAAAGGTCACATGGTGATTTTGCGCAGTGTTTACTTCCTATTTTTGAGTTTCTGTACAAAATGGATCTGCTCATCGCGTTGGCTATTTTCACAGTTTTTATAATAATAATATATATATTCTCTCCCCTCATCACTCCAAAAGCGCTTCAGATCAAAGGAGGACATGTAATTGTGAGTAGGTTTATATAAATTATTATAATGCTGCTACGTGACCTCCACTTAGCTATCACGTGCATGTGTGAATGTTTTGAGTGTTTATCTTGATTGTAGTGCTGACTACCTTGACACTAATATAGTGAAAGACTAGCCTATAAAAACATTAGACATCTACTATTCATAATAATTTACAGTATAGTAACTACAGTAGGTGGAGGTTCATTTAGAATCCAAGGAAAAACAAACAAAACACATTTTAACTTGACGAAGTAAAGAACAAATCAAACACTAAAAAAAGCTGAACTTGATAACAGCACGGTCCCTATAGAGGGACTGTGATTAAAGCTGTCACATGTCAAGCAGATGATGACCATCCTGACCGTTGTTTTCGTGTTTCACCGTGTTTCAGACACAATATTGAATAAACTTGATTCCAGCTAGAGGGGGCGCTGTCTCCGCTGCTTTAAAATGTTCTGCTTTCTGTACAGTCTGATCTCTGCATAATTAATTGCAGGAGATTAATCCTGTTTTTTGTTCCAAATTTCTGTCTAGTATTTTATTTTAAATAGCTTTAAGGTAGAGATGCAGTTTACCTGACAGGTATTCTAATTAGTTAATTAGGAAACCAAGATGACCTCCATTGTCCACAAAACTATATATTTTTGGAAAGCTTATTGTATGAATTTTAAAATTTTTTTTATGGACACTAATTTGAAATATGCACAAAAATGTGCTTTTTTGGTCAAAAGTGATAGCTTCTAAAATAGCTTCTAAACCATGCTTCTGTTTCCTGTCTATGGGTACATCTGTTTACTATGAAGAAAGTGCCGTCTTGAAAACTGTCTACCAGTTGTCAATTTTGCAGGGCAGCAGCTCAAATTTCACTACTTCAAGTTTATGCATAAATTAACACCCAGGCTAGTTGTCTGTACGATTGTTGTAAAACTGTTCAACCAAAAACAATGCCCAGGCAGCATTTTTAAGATAAACACATTGTCAATCATTTGTGAAAATTTCAAAACAAAAGGACAAAGCGTCTAGGAGCTATTTTTTTGTAAAGTTCTGGGATGTGCACTAAAAAGAAGCTGAGATAATTTGCATAACAATTCACTCAGTGAGAAGTTTGCTAATGCTCATAATTAAAATGGCTGTAACAGCAAATATCAAAACTGAAATGTCAGATGTAATAAAGCACTATTCTATTCTATTCTATTCTATTCTATTCTATTCTATTCTACTCTATTCTATTCTATTCTATTCTATTCTATTCTATTCTATTCTATTCTATTCTATTCTATTCCAAAATCTGATCAAAAGGACCCGAAACACTATTCAAAAATGAACTTACTACAATAGTTAATATCTTTATAAATGTTATTGATATTATATTTAATGTAAAGAGATTGAACTATAAGTACTTGACTTTTAATATTATATATTTGCTATATCTTTTGTGTTTGAATATATATGGTTGTAACAAAGAAGGCATTCTCATGTTCAGAGACAGAGACTTTGCTTTTCCAACATGCTGATTTAGTCTCGTCAAAACTATGCACATACGTCACTTATTAATCCCTCCTGGCTAGAACATGTTAGTACCTGCTGGCTAATTTGGAGCAGCCTGCATCTTAGCAATCAAGATTTAATTTAAGTCTTTCTCTCCGTAACCTTGACTTGAAAATGGCAGATCAACAGTTATGTCCCACAGTTCTTTTTGTCAAATGGATGGTCTACTGTAAA